TAATATGTCAGATGGTAAGGAGGGTGGTGGAAAAAAGTAAAACAAGGATTGGGATATGGAGTCCTGGGGTTGGAGGCTAGGTGGTGTGATTTTATTAATGCATTCGTCATGGAAGACCTAACTGAAAAGATAGTGTTTGATGAAAGCAAAGACTTAAAGGAGGCAGGGAATGGGTCACATGGATTTCAAGGAGGCAGGGAATGGGTCACATGGATTTCTGGAGAAAGAGCATTTGAGACAGGAGAGACAGCAAATGCAGAAGGCCATGAAGTAGGAGCGTGCCTGGTATATGCAAGGAACAAGAGCAAGCTCCTATGGCTGGAGTAGAGCTAGCAAAGGAGGGAGTATTAGCACATGACATCAGAGAGGTAATAGGATCAGATTATAGGCAATTGTCACTTTAGTATTTATTCTGAGTGTGATGGGAAGTCATTGGAGGTTTGAACAGAGAAATATTTATGAGCTGACCTACATTTTAAGATCCCTGTGGCTGCTCTGTTGAGAATAGACTGGGGAAGCTAGGTGTTGTAAAGAGGGAGGTGGTGGGGGTTGGGTGGGAGACAAGTGCAGAAGCAGGGAGACTGTTAAAAGGCTTCGCAGAATTCCATTTACTGAGTTTGGAAAGATAGCAGGAGGTTCTATTTGGGGATGGGAGGGAAGATCGAGAGTTTAGCTTTGGACGTGTTCCTTTTCAGATAGCTATTAGTTATCTAAATGAAGGTATTAAGTGGGCAATTAGATATATATGTGATCATTGATTTCCCAGAGGCAAGCTAGGTGTGATGTTAAAGCTCTTGGAAAATAGTTCTCCATCTTGCCTGGATTACATCTTCCTATTCTGTACTTGTTGGGATAGTGAATTTTAAAATAAAAAACAAGAAACCCCCCTTTCTCTTTTCCTCTCTCTCCCCCTCTCTCCAATAGCAATCAACATCATACTTTTTAAGACTGATTCAGTTCCATTTAATAAGAGTAGTCAACATCAGGATTGGAATTGAACTGGCTTCATACTGTCTTTCTTCCTTGGTTGTCTTTAATACCCAAAGAATGATTGGCGTATCATTCTTTGGAAATCCTTGAAGAATATAGCATTCTTAGGGTTGTGATCTACTATCTATATTATTCTTCCTTAACATGTAGATATTACATGATTTGAAACCAAAAGAACCCACACATAATCCCATCCCCCATCCCTGCCTCATTGAGAATCAGTGCGCCTAATGAGAGATGTTACTGATGGGATTATGTTATGCATATGAATGATGTAGCGGTAGAAAAAAGGTTGAGAAACCAGTGTTTCATTTTATTTGCTCAACATTTTTCCCTTAATTTCATACAATAAATATTTATTGAGTCAGGCAGTATCCTAGTAAAGATGAGAGACAGCCCCTGCACTCAGGAAGCTTGTTGTATTGCAGGTGAGCCAGATGTAAACAGTTATTTTGTGCTGTGGTAGAAGTGTATGCATTGGGTGCTGTGGGGAAGAGTTAGAGCTTTCTGAGAGATTTCAAGCTTGAACTGAACCTTAAGGTTAAGTATAGGTATTTTCCAGACAGTCAAAGCTTAAAGAGAAGCATATATTAAGTGAAAAGAACAGCATGTAAAAAAGGAACAGAGCTGTGAGTTTCATTGTTTCGGGAACAAGAAGTAATAATTCTGATGTGGTTGAAGTTAAGGAAATAGGCTGGAGAGGTAGGCAGGAGTCAGATCCAAGAGAGCCATATATTCTTGAAATGAATGCAGTTCTAGCCATGAGTAAAAATTTGAGAGCTGCAAAATACAGAATTTGAAAAGCTAATGAAAAAGAGATGAAACGCTTTCTCCATTGGGTGCCCTGTGCAGGTGATAATTTACCAAGCACAGTAGCAAAAAGAACCGTTAAGCTAACAATTTGCCAATAAGTCTTTTTAAAAATCTCTTCTGATCTCTTTTTAGCATAACAGTGTTACTGCATTTGAGCATGTGTAAAATTTCAGATAAGTCTAATGTGTTTATCCTTAATTATGAAAAATTCTGAGTTAAAAGGTAAAAACAGGAAATGGTGAAGGCAGAGGGAATTTTTCTTTGTTGAACAAACTCTTGTTATAGTACTTATTGTGAGTCAGGCACTGTTCTCTCTGCTTTGCAAATATTAACTCATTATTCTCATAACAACCCATGAATTTAGTACTGTTGTAATCTCCATTTTATAGACATGAAACTGTGAGAATTAGAATTTAAAACCAGGTGTTCTGGCTCCCAAGTCCATGCTCTGAACCACTGTGTCTGCTGCTTCTGGTGTGGGTGTCTCAGCTTCTCAGAGAATTATTCTAGAGCAGAAGTCTCAGGATAGTCCTCAGAGTGTCCCAAAACAACGGAAATTGTATGTTCAAAAAATTGCATGTGCATTTTTTTAGCACGAGGATTGTTGGCTCTCATCTGTTTGTCAAAAGGGTCTACAGGGCAGAACAGTTTAATACCACCAAACTAGAGGAGTGTTTTATGTCCTTTCCATTGTTAAAGAGCTCCTGTTGGCATAATGAGTTCCCCAGAAGAACAAGATATTTAAAAGCCCATTCAGACTTCTTAGATAACATTCTTCTCACTGAATTTCTTATCTGGCTAATCTTCTTGGGAACTTTTCCCCAGATATCTCATGCCAGGTCCCAGATTTAAAGATTATAATTCTTTTGTATCAGGGCGGGGGTGGGGGACTGGAGTCGGTTTTTGAAGTCGTAGTCTCAAGGGACCCTCCTGCCTCAGCCTCCCAAATAGTTGGGATACATGTGCATGCCACCAAACCCGGCCAATTTTTTTTATTTTTTATAGAGATGAGGTCTTGCTATTTCCCAGGCCGTTCTTGAACTACTGGCCTCAAGTGATCCTCCTACCTCAGCCTCCCAAAGTGCTGGGATTACAGATGTGAGCCACCACACCCAGCCCTGATATAAGTCTTTGGTTAAGACCTACTAATATTATCCTCTGTGGGACAAGGATTCTATTTTCTGTATCTTTTCTTATATCTCAAATGCTTGAGATGTAATAAACATTAATGTTTGAATGAGTGGCACATTGTGGGATATGACTGCTTTATATTCAAAGATGAGAGTGGGCACAGCGGCTCATACCTGGAATTCTAGCAGTCTGGGAGTCCAAGGCAGGAGGATCACTTGAGGCCAGGAATTCAAGGCTACAGTGAACTGCGCTTGCACTGTTGCACTCTAGCACTCCAGCCTGGGCTACAGAGTGGGACCCTGTCTCTTAAAACACACACACACACAAAGATGATATTAATAGTAGTAATAATAATCACAATTCACATTGAGATCTTTATGTGAGCTACTACTAGCTTATCCCCATCACCCCAGTTTTCACTCCTAAATGTCGTTACAGAGCCTGGCACTGTCTCAAGATCTTCTTGGTGCCCTTTTTTGAAGTAAGAGTTCTCCTTCTCTCTAATTCATCTGCAGATGAATTAGAAAATACCTCTTTCCCAGAAGCCCATAACTGGCATAAATCTTTGAAAGTAGTGCTCTAGTGCATCTTAATATCTTAAGTCCCTTTTTCGTGGCATTAGTTACTATGCTTAAATTCACCAGACCCAAGTTTTTTGAGAATCCTCCTATGTCAGCATTTTGGTCATCAGGCTGTGTGATATAGGTCAGAAACTCCTAGTCTTCATATTTCACAGGTTAAAAGCAAGGAAATAATTGGATGGAATCTCTTGGGGGAGAGAACAGAAAGACTGTGCCAGGTAGACATAACCAAACAATTATGGAGGAGAAAATAAAGGAAGGTCAGGAAGATAAGTTGATAATAAATGTAAAAAGACTAGATGTACTTCAGAAAGAGGATATTTGGATCTCATAGCCAAAGTTTTGATGAAGGGGTAAGTAGGCTATCAAAGTGTAGACATTTGCCATAAAAGTCAGGGAGGGAGAATTGTGGTTCTAGACAAGCACTTTTGTTTCCTTTATCTTTTTAGAGCAGAATGAGAAAGAAATAGGTATAGTTACTGATCATAGAACTCGCCCGGAGAAATGTTTTCCTGCAGTGCCAAGAGCATAGATAGGAAAGTCACTAGTGACAGAAACCAGTGGGAGGTGGTAGTTTAGAGCGCTTCTCCTCCTACTCTCTCTTCTTACAGTATATGGGTCTTATAATCTGCTGCAGTGGAATCTGCCTATTTCTGAATGTATACACCAATCAGTGTTGCCCTGAATGAAAGTACTTACTATAGCTTTTTAAAAAACAGCGTGCCCTGAATTAAGCAGACCATGGTACAGTCACAGTGTACAAGTTGTATTGTAAGAAGAAAACTTATTTCTTTGCTCATTTAAAGGTTTTTCATTCTTATAGTCATCAGGTTTACCAGTGTTTGACCCAACAAGCTTTTTCCAACCATAGGACCTAGGAAATAAGGTTTTATAAAAAGAAACAACTTTAAAACTGATATCTAAAAAGAAGGTAAGTGGCAGTCTGTCAGTAGTTATTGTGGTGAAAAATAAAAATTAAGGTTTAGAGTCAGACAAGTTCGAGTTTGAATCCTAATTCTTCTGTGTACTTGCTACGTGACCCTGGATACCAATATTTAGTCTTGCTCAACCTCAGTTTACCTTATCTGTAAAAAGAGAGAGAGGAATGATAACTACTTTGTTCGGGATAGTTGTAATGAGAATTAGAAATAATATCAGTAGTGCATACTTAGTAAGTGGTAGCAGCTACTGTTAATCATAAAAACAAAAAAATAACTCAGTAGATTACTCTGGGCATAGAAGTCATGCCTTGAAGACAGACCTTCTGGAGAGAGGTAGAATTGCAGGTGGTTACATTTGTATGACAGTGGAGTAAGGAGGAGTGTGCTTTGCAGTGTATGGGTTGGTGTGTCTTGATTTGGGGAGGCCTGCACTGACTGAAAGAGGAAGGAAATAAGGAGGTATATTTCTAGACACGTAACTGTTCTAACTCTCCTTCCTGGCTTCCCATGATGTCCTCATTTTCCCTTGTTGCTTTCCCGGCAGGTGGCTGTGAAAAACAATATTGATGTCTTCTACTTCAGCTGCCTCATCCCACTCAATGTACTTTTTGTAGAAGATGGCAAAATGGGTAAGTACATCCCCTCCTGTCCTTCTGCCCTAATATACCTTTGCCCTTCCTCTGAATGTCAGGCAGAGCATACCCCCAGAAGTACAGGTTATTTTGAGGTTAAAAAATGAGGTAAGGCAAAGGAAAAGAAATGATTTTATCAAAAAGACACTTGTTCTTGAATGTTTATCACAGCACAATTTACTATTAATTGCAAAGATAGGAAATCAACCTAAGTGCCCATCAACACATGAGTGGGTAAAGAAAATGTGGTGTGTATATATGTCATGGAGTACAACCCAGCCATAAAAAGGAATGAAGTAATGCCGTTTACAGCAACTTGGATGGAACTGGAGCCCATTATCCTAAGTGAAGTGTCTCAGGAATGGAAAAACAAACACCACGTGTTCTCGCTAATAAGTGGGAGCTAAATGATGGGTGCACATGGGCATAAAAAGACATAAAGGACATTGGAAACTAAGAAGCGGGGAGGGTGGGAGGGGAGGGGAGAGATTAAAACTTAACTATTGGGTGCAGTGAACGCTGTCCTGGTGGCAGGCACACTGAAAGGCCTGACTTCAGCATTATACAGTATATCCCTGTAACAAAAACTTTTGTACCCCCTTAATATTTTGAGAAAAAAAATGGCATAAGGATATTCTATAGCCCTTTGTAATTGCTCATTATTCATTCACCTAAGTCATGATTGTTCTTGGTCTGCCATTGATCTCTAGATCGTTATGTCCATTATCTGAACAATCCAGTCACCCCAGAGTACAGAGGAAGAGGTTTGGGGGCAGGTAGATGTGGATTTGAATCTAGCTGTGCCATTAATCTCTGTGTGACTGCAGGTAGGGTGCTTTCTGAGTTTCGGTTTCCAGATTTACAAAGTGTAAATAGTTTTTATAATGACTTAATGAGGTAATACATGTAAATTTAGCCCTGTGCTAAGTTCATACTGCCTCATGGTAAGAATTCAGGGATTTGTAATAAACCATTAGTACTCCCTATGTGGCTATTGACATTTCACTCTTCCCTTACTTGTGAAATCACCATCTAATAAAACTGGCTTATATTGGTACATATTAAATTGTGTTTACACTTAATTGATTTGAATCTCACAGTAGCTCTTTAGGTAGGCAGGACAGATGTAGATATATGTGAAGAAATTAA